TTGGGGGGCAGCTATTTTGCTTATTAGCAGCTGAAAAGATGTTACCTTTGGCATATTGAAGCACTTCTTATGATAAATATACGGGTTTAGGGTTCGATTTATAGATGAAAGAGTTTGAACAACTTTAAAGAACTATTTTTAAGCAACTCCTTCCCATCTTTGATAGGATATTGTGAGTTTTTTGGCTTTCTCTCACATCTTTCATTATCTTTACCACCTCTAAACTGTTCTACTTAACTGTTATCCACATGCTAAACCATTCGAGAGGGCAGGCATCAATTGTCGTTCCGCTTTTTGTACGTTCTGTAGGCGTTTTTGGTGCTGCCAACTTGTCTAAATATTATTATTTACGGCTTAGGGCGAAGAGCAAACAGCGACAACTGTTACCCGCTGGCCCCCATGGGGGTGGGGTGCCTGAACCTTAACCCCCTTAACCCCTTAAAGCCTGCGTAATTCACTAAGCGAATAGGCGAACAGGAGGGGGGAGCGTGGAGCGTGGAACGTGGAGCGTGGAACGTGCGTTGTCTTGTCGCAAAGTTTTTAAGACTTGCTTGACCGACCTTTGTCAAAAGTTGTTGGAGCGCATGAAAAATGATGCCACACGCAAGGGAGGGAGTGGGGAAGGATGTGTTACAACAGGCTTCACATCTCTCTCTCTCTCTCTCTCTCTCTTTCACTGGCCCAGCTAAGCTATGGCCATCCCACTCTGTGGGATGTTCAGGCAAAATAGCAATTTGCGTTTTCAAACAAACGATAGAAGAGGACAGAATCAGTGGCATGAGGCAGGGAGGAGGCAGTCAGAGTTTGCTAGTTTTTGTTGCTTTTCGTTCTTCTGCTGGCTGCCAGTTGCCGTTTGCCTCACAATTGATTGAAATCCCTTTGCGCACACCTTTTTTTCAGTTCACTCCCAACCCCCCCCCCCCCCCCCCCCCCCCCCCCCCCCCCCAGCCGCTCCACTCATTTCTCAGCCTCTGTGCTGCTTTTTGTTGCTAGTTTTTCCTGCTTCTGATGCTGGCTCTGGTTTTTCCTCCACTCTCACCGCAGCTGAGCTGAGCTGAGCAGAGCGAGAGAACACACACAACTTCCGCTTTCTTTGGCAAAAACAATAGAAAGCACATAAATTTATGGTTTCAGCATTGTGCTTTTGACAACATGTGCGGTGTGTGGCCTAGCCCTCCTAAGGGATAGATGGATGAATGATGGTAGCGGGTGGAGTAGCTATATCGAGAGAGAGAGAGAGAGAGTGGGGGGTATGGCAGGGCTTTTGTGCGGAACGTTAAGGGGTTAATATGCCTGCAACCGCAAAACGGATTGCCTTTTGGTCCAGGGGTAAAGAGAACGACACAGCGCAGGGGGGGCTGGCTGGTTGGCAGAGAGTTTTCTTATAAATAATTTCACTAAATGGATTTGGGATACATTTTCTGCTGACACTGTAGGAGGTCGAAGGTCGTTTGTTGTTGCTCACGTAGCGGGGGGATGTGGGTAGACGACTGCTTGAACTAATTACCTGAGAAATCCGTTTTCCCAGCAACTTTGCACATTTTTGGCATTTTCCAGATCGTTTATTTGTGCACAACAACAGCAACAGCTGAACCACAAGTGCAACAATCAAATTGTTGTGCCTTTGCTTTGTCTTTGTTTATTTATATGTGATATATACGAGGGTATATACATATACATGTATATGTATATGTATTTTGTATTTGTTGTGCATGAATATGGCAAACAACTTTAATGGTTGTTTGGCATTTTCTTGCAGCTGTTTCGCTTCTGTGGTTCTGCTACAGATCCATTCCCCCTGCTGCCACTGCCCCTCCTATGCGTTTCAAAATTTATGTTTGCTGGCTATGAAAATGAAATGACTGTGGTAAACATTTTAATTAAATCCAAGTTTGGCTTTTTTGGCCCTGGCCCTGGCCCTGGCCCATGACCAGCCGTTTTTACAATATATTGCCGCCTGCCTGTTGGCCCACCGCTACGTTGCTCTTTTTGGCTCTCTCTCCCTCTCTCCTTCTCTGCCTACTCCTACTCTGCTGTCTCCTTTGCGCTTCTACTCTTCAAATGCCGCTACTCCACTGCCCACTCCCCACTGCCCACTCCTCTCTCTCCTCTGCTATTTCCTATTCTTTTTTTATATTTCCCCCTGCCCTGGCCCCTTGTTCTTTGTTTTATTTATATGAGCACTTTGTTGTTGTTGTAGCAAATAAATTTTAATTTTATTTTTATTTTTCCGCGTTTTAATTTGTTGACCATTTCCCCTTCTTTCACTTTTTGTTGCTGCTTGTTTTAATTTTCTGTTTTTTTTTCATTCTTTTTTCTTGCTTGTTTCACATTTACACATTTATTTTGTTTGCCTCTGCATTCTATTGGCCCTGTCCAGCGTTGGGGACAGCAGTGGCAGCCGTGTGTTGCTGTGACTGTGGCAGCGGCAGCAGTCAAGTGACAGTTGGCGCTGAGCACACTCGCAGACTGACGGACGGACGGACAGGCGGGGGACCCCCGACTGCATGACGAGAGCTCGCAAATATGAAATGCAAAACAAACTTTGCAGCTGTCACTCAAAAATGAACGTCGCAATGGAATGACAGTGCAGTGGGTGGACATGGAGGGGGGAGCAGCAGCTACTAGGAGCAGGAATGCAGAGGGCGCGTAGTCCAAAGGGTGTCCCTATGTTGTGGGGGAGGGCCGGGAGAGGGGAAAGTGCACTGCGAGAAATGTTCAAATGGTTAATTGGCCGGAAAGGTATTCCACGTTCCACGTGTCTGTCCTGTGTCCTCCTGACAAAGTGAACGATGATGGGCTCCCGGTTTATGATTGACATGTTGATGATGACTTCATTTTGGCATTTTGATACGAAATCTGGTAATAGAGAGGGTGTAAGTGTAAGGGACAGGATGGCTGCTGGCTGATGGCATCAAAACTGAATTGAAAGCAAAGCGAAGCCAATAATGCAATTATTATTCGTATAAAACTTTGGCTGGCTGTCCGAAAAACCTTTGAAAGTCCTCAAAATGTTGATGAAGTTTTCGGATTAAGAAATCAACCAAAAGTGGAGTGAATGGCAAAAGGGAAATTGAAGATATTTTGACATAGATTTTATAGTCAAAGGATGTGCCAAATCAATCAACTGCAAAACTGCAGGAAAGTATCAGAAATTAGTTGGGAATTTGCTTGATGTGAGCTGCAAAGGATACATTGATGACATGACTATTCATAGCTTAGGGAAGTCAGGAGTCAGTGGAAAATTAAACATATTTTAGGGACAATATCAGAGCTGAATGAGCCAGGGAAACATATGAATATAGGCGAAAAATCTATCTAAAAGAACAGCAAGAAATACGTATAAAAATCACATGTAAAGCTGATGTATTTAAGTTAAAAGAGCTGCCCAAAAATTCCTACTACTCACAGCAAAAAATACCCAAAACTGTATCCTCCTACACACACACTCAGAATGGTATACACATATACGATTACTAAGTAGAAAAGTGCGAATAACTTTGCCTCCAAGGTTTATCTACTTTACTACACCATACACGCATACCTCACTCACTCTCTCTCTCTTCCACGGTGGCCGAGCAATTGCCCATTAAAACTTAAAGTGTAGCATACTTTGCAGCGCCACATACGCAACCCTTTTTATATATATTTTTTTTGGCTCTGGGTCTGGTTGTGGCCATCAATTTACATGCCACACACGCATACCCTATAGCCACTTGCGCCCCGTTCCGCACATGCCTCATGCCTCATGCCACATGCCACACTCGAGCACAGCACAGCAGAGCAGAGCAGAGCAGAGCCAGTTGCTGTTGTTATTTATGGTACCAAAACTGTCATAAGCAAACAAATTGTTTTTTATTGTTCATAATTATTGTGCATACTTATGTAAATCACGCGACGCGCGATTCGCGTTGCATTGCCCCCACTTGACTGCCACACAGACACACATGTGCCACATGCCACCACCCTTTTGTTGGTGGGGTTCAACACAAGGCGCAACTAGTTGCTCCACACACACACACACACACACACACGCACAGACACTTTTGCCCCTTGATTCTATGGGAGGGGGGAACGCTGCTTATAGTGCGTGTGTGTGTGTGTGTGGTGTCCTTTTGGTGTGAGAAATCGCACCACATTTCTGGCTAAAGGAGCGTCTTGGCGGAACTCCGTTCAGCAGCACAGCAGCAGCAGCAGAAAAAAATCGTTTGTTTTATTGAATTTTTATTGTAGTTTGAATTTATGACGTCCCTGCGTCGACTGGATTAGGGCTGACTTTTTTCTCTCTCCATGCGAACTCCATGAGAGATGACTTTATCGGTTTTTTCCCCAGCCCTCTGCTACTGCTGCTGCATTAAATCGCAGCCAACGAGCCTTGGTATCTGTCGCTGTTGCCTGCCACTGCCACTGCCACTGCCACAACTTCTGCTCCTGCTGCTGCTCTTGATCCTTCTGCTTTCCTCCCATTTGTCTGGCAATTTTGCTGAAATAACTTCAGTTTTGCGTTTGTGTGCGTACGTGCCGCTGAAGTGCTTTTGCTCCACGCCCTGTGTGTGTGTGTGTGCCTCCGCTTGGTGGCAGAACCAGATTAGCTCACAAAACCGCAGACAACAGCTGCCGACGTACCCGTCTGAAGTGGAGAATCCATACAGGGAGCTGCCAGTACGGGTAAACGTGCCCCATCCCTCCACCCACGAATGTATGTATTTGTGTGGTGTATGCCGCATGCAGCATGTGAATAATGTCCAGAGAGCCAGCAGAAACCAGCAGAAAAGTTTTTGCGATTTTTGTTTACGTTTCTCCAGTATTTTTATGAAGCGCATAAATAAAATTAGTTACTTTTTGTGTCGTGATTTTTGTATTTTGATGGCGACTTTACGTACTGAAGGAATGTTTACTTCCAGCAGTATTCCCAGTTCAATTTATATAAACAGTCAGATTGATTGATTTCCAGTATGTTCCTTCCTTCAGTCACTCATTTTTGTTGCTTTTCTTTACAGAGAGCTTACGCGATTACTTTGGACGCTATGGCGAAATCTCAGAGGCTATGGTCATGAAGGATCCCACGACGCGTAGATCCAGGTGAGTGGATCAACTAAAAGTATTAGAAAACTACGGAAACTAATCCAAGATGTAGATGGAAATGGTTACAACATACTGAATTGATGTCTGAATGAGATGAAACCATTAATGATCCTTTTTATGCACTTTTAAGCGCTGTTTAAAGCTTCTTTCTTAATTCTAAAAATTATTTTAAATTGTTTCTAAAGGTAATTGTATTTCTGTCTTTGCTTGAAGTTCCATTTACGTATTAAATGTCTGATTTTTATGCATTTTTGTATTAGTTCTCCCGTTCCCAGAAATGGTTCTATTATGTTTAGTTTCTCCATCTTTCGTCAACTCCTTCTCTCATGCGTAAAATGTAACAAAAATATTTTCTCTAATTTATTGCGCTCTCAATTAATTTCGCTATGGTGAAGTGGTCCCCCAGGCCCCATGCGGAATGGTGTCGTGTTGCAAACTGATTTTAATTTTTGCAAAACTCTCGTACATATCTCTTACTATAGCTATGGTCTGCGTAATAAATTTTGTAACCTGTGGCAACCTTTTACCTTTCAACCTCTTGTTTGTTGCTGTATTTGCTGACCTCTCGCTATCACTCATCTCCCCTGGCTTTAACTCTGTCTCTCTCCCACTGCTACTGTTACTTCTCCTCCTTCTGTTGCTGTATCTTTTGCTGCTGCTGTTGTTTATGGCCATGCACGGCTGCGCATCCATTTCCAAATTTGAACAGTTTGGTTAACCGCTAATTGGTTTTCATTTTCATTGATTTTCCTTCTCCTCTTTTTTTTTCGCTGTCTCTCTCCCTTGCTACTCCTTTGCGCTTTGCTCTTCCTCTCAGTCTCTATCTCTCTCTCTCTTTGTCTGTGTTTGTGCTTTCCGTGTTGTGTATTTTCCACCCGTAACGTTTGTCATTTGTTGCGGTTTCGATCAACATTCAGTTGGCTGAACCAACCAGTCACTCCCTCCCCTTTCCATTTCACTCCCCACTCTTCACTCTGTAATCTGTAGTCCCACCCATTTTGACCTTATTTAAAAATGCTTAACGCAAATTAGCTGGGTTTTTGCGGTGCTCGCCGTATGAATCATGAGGCGGCAGAGAGAGTCAATTTCAATTTCCAACTGAAGCGGCCAAGTACTCTATTAAAACGGGAAGGAAGTAAAGATTTAGCAGCTGCTGGAGAGAGAGAGAGAGTGCTAGGTTGTGGCTTTACGTGGAGCTGACAAGAAATTACAGCTTGACTGCAAATACAGAAGTTGTATGCTAACCGGAGAGTAACAGAGAGCAAGAGAGAGCTGCAATGATCGTCGTTTACATATCTTTATAGCAAGCAGCAGCAATAGCAGCGCTTTGGCTTCGGCTTCGGTCTTCGGCTGCGCTTTTGCTGCTTTTGCATCGTTGCTTTTGCACTCGGACCGAGCATGTTTGATCATGTTCGATGTTCGAACTGCAGGCTCGATCCTACTCAATGCAGCTCACTCATTGCTCACTCATTAATAGATGGTTTCAAAAACCATGTTTTCTAAGAAGATTTTGCTTTTTCTCCCTTCTCTAATACCCTTTCAAAGCAGAGCAACACAAAAAGAAAATAAGACAAAAAAAGCTCAAGAGGGCGAGAAAGAAAATCACTTACAAACTAGCAAATGTTTATGCGCTGCTTTTTCTTTTCGCACTAATTAAGCGTTTTATGGGGCGTGCACGCAATGTACTATACGGAACAAGAAAAAATACAAAAAGGGAGAGAGAGAGCGAGCAAAACACACACATTTCTTCACTGTCGTTCATTCATTCATTCGTTCGCTTGTTCGTTCGTTTTTTTAAGCGCATTTTTTGGTTTTAAACAACTTGAGAACTGACACTCCTCCTGGTTGCTGCTGCCGTTGCTGCTGGAATGCCCCACGAAATATATCTTTGTTTTAATTGAATTTCATCTAATGTCTGTGGAATGGGTAGAACTTTTGCTGCTGCTGCTGGCTCTGCTCTTAGCTCTCAGGTTAACAAGCGACGAAAGTTTATGCCACATTCTCTCACAGTCTTTCACTGCTTTTTTGCCCTCACTCTCAGTCGTAGATCCCATCTCCCCTCAGTCTCTCACTCGCATTGCTGTGTCTCTGTCTCTCACTCACTCGCAGTGCCTGTGACCAGGGTCCCGTGTGTCCTTTCGCCTTTGTGCATGTCATGTTGGCTGGCAAAATTTTTATGAACTGCGTGCTGCAGCCGGAGAAGAAGGAGCAGCATCAGTGGGGAACCCTAGAGCTCGTATCTCTTTCCCGGTAGTACTGCCAACAGTAAAACAGTTGCTACACCTTCTCTCTGCTGTGCCCCTGCTCGTTGAAAGTGTCTTAAAAACTCAGCATCCAGCAGCAGCAATCAGGTTGAAGCTTGTACATAGAACGGAGATGGAAATGGGAGAAAATCCTCCCTGCTGTAGTTGTAAATTCCGCAGCTCTATTTGTTGCCATCGTCGTTGTCGTTGTCGTTGGTGCTCTGCTGTGTGCCTGCCTGCTCCAGCTCTCTCTCTCTCTCTCTCTCTCTCTCTCTCTCAATTTTACCCGCCTGATATCATCGTGTCAGGGATTTTCTCTAGCAAAATTTAATAAAAACTTTATGTCGCTTAAAAGAATGTTTATGGAAATTTTTCACTTAAACTTGCGCAAAGTAATAAATGTAAACAGAATTCCAGAGAAGGTGCGACAACAAAATTCAAAACACACACAGGGGCAGAGGCAGAACCAAAGAGAGGGACAGCAAGAGAGTAAGAGAGCGAAAGAGAGCGAGCTAGAGTTGGAGCAACAAGCTGCAAGTAAAAGTTGCCGGAGTCAACAGTGTGGTTAATAAATATGCGCACACCCCTGAGGCAGCGCAAGGCGTTGCATACTTATGACCCCCTAATCTCTCTTTCCTCTAGATGTTCATATCTCACTTTCTCCATGTCGAGCTCTCTCCCTATCCAAATGAGAATAAAATGAAGTGAAATACAAATTAGAAAACTTGCAAATAAATTTTGAAAGCACAAAATGAACGCTGAAAAAAGAAAACGAAACGTACAACAATAAAAAATAGAAAACAGCAAAGCAAATGGCAAACAAAATACATTCACAAAGAGCGAGTGGCGGAGTGGGCGAGGCGGGCGGGGGGGATGTGAAAAAAATAGGAAAAACTTTTTGCAACTTAAGCGAGAATTTTCTTTGCCGCTGCCACTGCCACTGCCACTGCCGCCACCGCCGCTGCTGCTGTTGAAAGACAAAGACTTTCAGGAGGTCGCTGAAGTGCAACAACAATAAAAAAATTTGAGTAAAATGGCAAATGGCAGAAGCAGGCACCCCCACCCCACCCCACCCTACACCGCTCTCGCACAAGTAAATCCCAAACAATTTATTGTTGTACTTTTAGCATTCTTCTCTTCCCCTTATGTTTGCTGTTGCTGCTGCTGCTGCTGCTGCCGCTGCCATTGAAGCAAACATAAGCGACTTTTCAATGAGTTTCGAAAGTTATTGAAACATAAATTATATCGCACGGCGGCGCACGCACACGCCAACAGCAGACCCCCAGCAAACCCCACACCCCTCAACCACCCGCCCCCCCCACACAGCACAGCAGAAAGAGCAGCGAAAAACAGAACCACAGCAACAACACCCTTTTTTTGTTGCTGTGCGGGTGTGGGAGATGCCAGCATCTACTCCCTGCTCTGTGTGTGTGTGTGTTTTGGCAATTAAGTTAAATTTTTTGCTGGCTACCGCTTGTTAATGTTTGCACCCAGCACTCAAAGGGTATGCTGGGTATGAAGCTTATGCAGAATAATTCCAGCTACTGGATTGCAGAAACATGCCGGGAGATCAGAGTATTGTTATGGACAGCATGAAGGAAATAAGTGCCATTTGGCTTTCGGAATAATATTAATGCTTGAGGCCTTATTTTGTATCTATTAAAAACTAATGCCGCGATAACTTCATGTCGAGACCCGTGTGCCACCGTTCCCCACGTTTTGTGTTTCAGGGTAAAATTTTCATTTTATTTTATTTATTTGCTGGACAACCATAAAAAGTGATAGGGGAGTGAGAGCAAAGCGGGAGTGGGGGAGTGCGTGTGTTACCTGAAATGAGTATCGAATGAGAAATCGCATTGCATAATAAATTTAACGGGTTTTTAGATAAGAACTCGCATACAATACCTAAAAGAAGAAGGGAAACCAAACGCCGAAATTCCAAAGGGATAAACGAGATATGGTGTGGCGGGGGGTGGGATTTTAAGGGGGGATAAACTTTTGATAGAACTTCGATTACATGGATGTGCGATGATGGCAGCTTGTTTTTCTTTCATGGAAATTAACGGCCTAGATTATGGTGCGAAACTCATTGGCCTCTTTGGTCGCTGTTTCGCTAGGTTTTTTCTATGGCTTTTTAAACATGAAATATTTGTCCATTCAGCAGAAAAAACTTTCTTTTGACAAATGGAACAAACGAAACAAATGTATTTCTAATGGAGATTTAGAGCGATTTTTGTTGGTGTATTTTCATTTACGTTTCGCAGGTTTTCCACTTTGTTAATAATCCCCCAAATTGGCTTTGTTTTTTCTCACTCTGGCGTAACGCAGCCCTGCCACAGCCTGCTGGATGCCCCCTGCCATCAGTGCGCTTTCTTTTCTTTGCCGCTCGTGTGTGTCATTTTATATCCTTGCAATAATTTATATATACAACTTGCAACTGTTATTTGTCCTGCAGCCCTGCTGCCACCACACTCCTCTCTGCATCTCCCGAAGGACATAATTAACTCAATTTAATCACTTGGCCACTCAAACCCTCAAACATTTCGACGCTTTAGTGCGCCACTTAATGCCCCGAGTGCTGTTTCCTTCTTTTTGTCGGTTTGGTTTGGTTTTGGTTTGGGTTTTGTTGCCAGCGTTTCTCTCACTCTCCCTCACTCTCCAGTTGTTGACCTTCTGGCACTCAGTCGAGCAGCTTCCATCGTTTCAGCCCCTTACTGCTGTTCGTTCTTGACCAGCAGGCCTCCCATTTCAGAT